GGTAACAGCCTCAGAAAGGGACATGGAGAATCTTTCCTCATTTTCTGTCGTCTGAAGGCCATTCCGTCTACCTAAAATCATCTGTTCCTTAGATACTTGGTAGAACTCACTTTTTAAATCACCTAGAAATGTTTTTACGATAGTTTAACATTCACAGGGACTACAGGGCATGCAGGTTCCTGATTTTCCAGAGCTGGTGTTGTGCATTTATGTTTTTCTAGGAATTTGATCATTTTACCTGAATTTGTAAACAGTACTCCTATTTTAAATGTGTCTGTATTTATGCCTCTTTCTCATTGTTTTCTTATTTGTGCATTTTTCTTGATATGTTTTGCCAGTGTTTGTGTAACTGCCCGATGGGTTCTTCCTGCCCACTCCACAGAGAAAATCATACCCTGAGACCATAGCATTGCAGGCAAGAAAGAACTTCATTCACGTGAAGCTGGCCCAGGCAGGAGAACTGGGCTTATCACTCACATCCATTTTCCTGAAGGCTCAGGGTTTTTATGGACAGTTTGGTGGGCAGGGAGCTAGGGAATGGGTGTGGCTGATTGGTTGGGGATGAAATCATAGGGGGGTGGAAAACAGTCTTTGTGCACTGAGTTCACCTCTGGGACCAGTTGAGTCATGAGTCACAAACCTGGGTAGGATCCGTATGAAAGATATCTCAAAAAACAATCTTAGGTTTGCTATATGTAAAATGTTCGTTCCCTGGTGCCATAAAGAAATAGCACTGGAATATAAATTTAATTCTCTCAGCAAGGCAGTCTTTATTTTCTGCAGAAAGGGTGCTCATCGCAGATGGAATAATGGGGAAAGCACATTCGAACAAAGGAAGGAAGTAATTTTTATCCCTTATGCTGTTCCTGCTACTGTGTCCTATCTCCATTGGCTGGAGCCGGACCGCACCATCTAAACTAAAACCTGATTGGCTAACAGTTTAAAACTTTTCCAAATAGGTAAAAGTAATAGAAAGACAAAGGAAAAGAGGAAGTTGCTTGTGCCAAATAGGGAAGGGGCATAGGCTGCGAGCTGGAACGTGCCTGTGAGCATGTCCAGCACAAATATTTTGGTTAAGGTACAAGGACATAGAATGTACTATGTGCCTATAAGCATGTTTAACAGCTACGCAGGATAGGGCTTAACAAAGAGTTATTAGCATAAAGAGGCTTAAAGGAAGTTAGTCTTTAAAAGAAACTATTATTTCTAACACGATTTACTCTTTAACAAGAAGGGAAACTTTGAAGAGGAACTTTTTACTTTCTACAGGTTCTACGATAATGATGCTATCTATAGGAACGATCGAGGAAGTCATGAATTTTGCAACGTCTGGCCACATGACTCCCGAGCAGTAAGGGATTATAGAAACTACACCTACATTTCAGTGGAGTTTAGGCCCTTCCAGTTCCCATTATCATATTCTTGCTTACAAAGGTGGTTTTCAGTCCCTGATCAAGGAAAGGGGCTAGTTACAGGGAGGGGCTGTTATCATCCTTGCTCCTAAGTTAAAGGGGAAACCACATTTCTCCTAAAGTTAGCTTGGCATACACCCAGGAGTGACCAGGGACAGTTTGGAGGTCAGAAGCAAGATGAGGTCAGCTATGTCGGATTTCTTTTACTGTCATAATTTTGCAAAGGCAGTTTTATTTTGTTAATTTTACTGATCTTTTAAAGAACCAGCGTTTGGCTTCTGTTGTCTTATCTTCATTTTCTATTAATTCCTGATAATGTTTTTATTATTATTTTATGTTCCTTGGGTTTATTCAGTTATATTTTTCTTAATTCATAGTTTGTGGTCATATTTTCTAATATAGGCATCAAAGCTATAAATTTAGCCATATCCTATGGGTTTTTAAAAAGTTGTATTTTCACTCCTTAGTTCTGTAGAAATCTCTGTAGTGTTCATTTGCACATTTTGTAACCTTTCTAGTTACTTTGTTACCATTGGTTTTTGGTGGACTTGTCTTGGTCACAGCATGTGGCTCCTTGACCCCACTGGCCGCACACCTCAAGAGCCTTTGCTCTTACTCCACCCTCCCCCAGATAGCTTTTCCCCACATAGCTGCAGTACTCACTAGTTTACGTCTTGACGCAAGTATCACGTTTTCAGGGAGGCCTTCCCTCTCCATCTTCCTGAAGCTTCACACACCTCCTTGTTGCTCTTGCCTGCTTTATTTTCTCTCCTCAGAGCTTATCACTTTCTAATATGTTATTTAACACAGTGTTCCCAGCTGGATAGAGAAGGAAGTAAAGCCATTACGGGGTGTATAGCTGGAGACAGAAATGGAATTAAATCGTAAGGAAAGTGGGGAGGGCTGAGTGCCTGGACTTTGCCTGTCATGAGACTGAAGACATAGGGGTAGATGCAGCTGAGGAGTCAGTGTTGTGGTTGGAGAGGAAGATTTTTTTTTTTCATATGGAGTCTCACTCTGTCATCCAAGCTGGAATGCAGTGGTGCGATCTTGGCTCACTGCAACCTCTGCCTCCCCGGTTCAAGCAATTTTCTCCTGTCTCAGCCACCCAAGCAGTTGGGATTACAGGCGCCCGCCACCATGCCCAGCTAATTTTTTGTATTTTTAGTAGAGACGGGGTTTCACCATGTTGGTCAGGCTGGTCTCCAACTCCTGACCTCAGGTCCTAGGCCTCCTAAAGTCCTAGAATTACAGGTGTGAGCCACCACACCCAGCCGGAGAGGGAGGTTTTAACTTAGAAGTGAAGAGGTCATCACATCAGTCCTGGATGATGATGAAATTGAGGGTAGGGCAAAGTTCCTTATGTGGAATTTAGGTAAAGGTGACAGCAGGAACACTAACCAAGACATTTGGAGGCAGGTTGGACATGGTCCAACATAATAGTGGGAATCAGGCTAAAGAAAACGTGAGAAACCACATCAGTGTCCGTCTTTCATAGCTGCTAATGGAGCAGCCCTTGCTTCCTTCAGGGTCTGTTTTGGGTGGTTCCCTTTTGTGAGGGCCAAGCAGCTCATGGTGGAAGTGGGAAGGCCGGGAGTGGTTTGAGGAAAACAGCCTGTAAGTGTGAATCTTGCTGTGTGGTTGAAGAAGGGGTTGGCTCCCTAGGTGCCTAGTTCCTCGTGGATTCAGAGCAGCCTGTCCAGTTACAGTCTTTAACTTTAGGATCTCATGGCCTTTGGAAGAAGCAGTGCTTTTTTGTTGTTTGTTTACTTGCTCTTTGTCTAACCCTAAGCAAACATTTTAGGGAGTTATAATGTCTGTTTCACCTAAATGTTACTGCTCTGTACATTTTTGTTGCAGTATTTTTGTTGCACGTTGCTTTTTTTTTTTTTTTTTTTTGTCTTTTCCTTTGCTCTCATGGGCTTCCTTACTTAGAGAACGTTTTCTTCTACTTCAGGTGTTTTGTGTTTTTCTGTTTATGTCTTTAGTTTTAAAAGTGCCTGCAGCTAACATAGCAGTGCTTTCACTGGCGCCTGATTTTCCTTTGTACTATTGTCTTTTCCAGCCATGCCTCTGGTATTACTGTTGGTGGGAGTTTTTGTTTGGTTGGGTTTTTGTTTTGTTTTGGTATGTTACTGTTGTTTTGTTTTTTTACTTTTTAATTGACTTGTAATGGAATACTTAATAGTTCTTGGTTGGCAGACAGTTAAGAAACAGAACTGTTTACCATCTTCTAGGCTCATGGCATAACCTTGTACAAGAGAACCTGATTTTACCAGTGGTGCTTTACTGATGCCGATTTGCTTTGTCCTGATCTTTTGGGGATAATACCATTTTTAAGATTATTTTATGCTGTAGAAATAAGTAACTTAAAAGCAGTATCTCTGTGCAGTTTTCTTAGGTATCTACATTGCTTATAGGGTTTCTCTGCCGTAAGTCTATTTAGTGAGATGATTGTATATGTGCACTGGGCTCCTTAGAAAGAATTCCTTAGGAAATTGTATTAGCCTCCATGAAGATCAGATATCAGAAAGTTTAGGAAAAATCGCCAGGCACGGTGGCCTCACGCCTGTAATCCCAGCACTTTGGGAGGCCAAGGCGGGCAGCTCACCTGAGGTCAGGAGTTTGAGACCAGCCTGGCCTACTTGGTGAAACCCCATCTCTACTAAAAATACAAAAATTAGCCAGGTGTGGTGGCACACACTTGTAATCCCAGCTACTTGGGAGGGTGAGGCAGGAGAATTGCTTGAACTCGGGAGGCAGAGGTTGCAGTGAACCAAGATCCTGCCACTTTACTCCAGCCTGGGTGACAGAGTGAGACTCTATCTTAAAAAAACAAAACAAAACAAAAAAACAAAAACTAAGGAAAAATTGCTGTTCGGTGCCACATTTAGTTCTTCTTGCCTTGTTTTATAGGTGAGGGAACATAATTACTTGAACTCTTTATTTGAAAATAACTTAGATCTAGAGTGGACACTAGGGCAGGCATAACTTTGATTGGAAAGTAGAACTTTTTTTTTAAGTTGCTTATATTTATTTTTATTGTTTTGAGACAGAGTCTTGCTCTATTGCCCAGGCCAGAGTACAGTGGTGTAATCTTGGCTCACCACAACCTCCGCCTCCCGGGTTCAAGAGATTCTCCAGCCTCAGCCACCCAAGTAGCTGGGATTACAGGCACCTGCCACCACCCCCAGCTAATTTTTATATTTTTAGTAGATACAGGTTGGCCAGGCTAGTCTGGAACTTCTGACCTCAAATGATCCGCCTACCTCAGCCTCCCAAAGTGCTGGGATTACAACCGTGAGCCGCTGTGCCTGGCCAGAGTTGCTTAGAGTTGCTTATTTATAATAATAGATTTTAAGATCCTTGGATTAAAAAAAGAATCTTGCAGTTGTATAGTTGGAAGGGACTTTAGTTGTCCTGTTATGATACATGTGGTACTTGTTATTTTCCTTGTGAAAAGTTATAACCTGATGAGAAAAATTACCCAACTGAAAGCAGTCCAGAACAAAGGTGAAGAAGTATCCATTAACATGGGCAAATGAATAAATCAGCTATTTCACTGCCATTGGTTCTCTGAGCATTAACCCACGGGCCTGAGGTTTTCATTGTTGAACCCTTTTTAAAAACTCAGTACTATCCATATATCTTCTTGTATTTCAATCTCCGTTAACTATATGCATAGTGGTCCTCCTTGTTGGTTTGGAAAACATTGATTCTGTATTTGGTGGATGATTTAAAAGTGTGCTGAAGTGTCTGACATATTTATTCTTCTTTTTTAGGAAATTGAAAATGGCCCTTCAGCTATGCTAGGTCTATAATGGGAAGTGTCACAGTTCGGTATTTCTGTTATGGGTGCCTTTTTACATCTGCGACCTGGACAGTTTTGCTTTTTGTTTATTTTAACTTCAGTGAAGTGACTCAGCCACTTAAGAATGTGCCCGTCAAGGGGTCTGGGCCCCGCGGACCATCTCCAAAAAAATTCTATCCTCGTTTCACTCGAGGCCCAAGTCGACTACTCGAGCCACAGTTCAAAGCAAACAAAATCGATGATGTGATAGACAGTCATGTTGAAGATCCAGAGGAAGGCCACTTGAAATTCTCTTCTGAATTAGGTAAGTATATGATGTTTACCAGCAGCCATATCAATGTATTTAATCAATGGAAGTTTGATTAATTAGATTAATTAGGAGATTAGAAATGCTGCATCATTTTTTGCCACACTGATTTATTTTGTTTGCGAACTAGCTGAAGTTCTGTGGTTTCTGTGAGGGGTGTCAGTGGGGATTTATATTCTAATTTATCCAGTTCTGACTTCAGTGTTTTATGAGAAAACAAACAAGGTCCAGTGAAGAAAAACAAAAAAAGAAAAGAAAAATTGAAAGGCTAGAAAGAAAGTGGACCCTATGGGAGAAGGGGTTTGTTTTTTGTTTGTTTTTTAAGAGATGGGGTCTCACCATATTGCCCAGGCTGTCCTCCAATTCTTGGGCTCAACTGTCCTCCCACCTCAACCTTGAGAGTAGCTGGGACTACAGGCAGGCACCACTGTGCCCGGCTCTGGAAGAAGGTTTTAATTGCTAGGAGTGTTAATAAGGGAAAGAAATGGTTGAAAGTTTCCTGGACTGTGTTTAACTTATTTTTAAGGGTACATTTAATTAATACAGAACATAAAGTACTGAGTTTAAAAATAAGCTGGGGTTATTTACATCTAATATGATTTTCACTTAACAAGAGTTACTAAGGTGCTAGAAAAAAATATATGTATATATAATATAGTTTATTAAAGCTTAGTATAAAATAGAAAGCTCTTTTTCCTCTTAAAAAATTATATTCTCTTCAACTTGGGTGCAAGACTCTATTGTCTATGCCTTTGAATACTGCAATTTTAGAGTGTTGATTTTGACAAATTTTATTTTAAGAGATAAATGAGCAATATTTGTTATCATTAAAACTTAAAGAACTTGGATCTTGTCACAAAAACATCAAATAATAGGTAATTTAAGAGTAAAATAAAATACATTTTTGAGAGATTGAGAGAACCTTAGAATGTGAAAGAAATGTTAAAATAGAGTTTTCACTTTGTCATAGTTTCAAAGAAATAAGATCAGTTCTTAGGACTTAATGATTTTCTAATAAAGGAAGTCAAAAGTATGTAAAATTTTGTGAGGAAACAAGCTAATATCTACTTCAGTTTTCATTTAAAATATTTTTAAATAGAGATGTGATCTCGCCAACTTCAATTTTCATCAAGTACAATTTTCATAAATCTTTTTCAGATAGCCAGTGGACATTTTTAAAGCATTAATGGGAAAATATCTAGCTCTTTTATTTATTTGTAGTTACATTGGTAAAGTTTTTATCAAGAAGTAATACTGGGTTTACCATTTTGAATAGACTCTGTATTTGCTTTTGAAAGAAGTAGTGAGAGAATTGTAGATATTTGAATAACAAACTCCAGCTGCGTAACTGAAAAACTAAATTCCTTATAGACTATCCTAAAGAATCCACAAAAAAAACCTATAAGAGGTAATAAATGAATTTGGCAGTTGCAGGTACTAGATCAACAGGCAAAAACCAGTTGCATTTCTATACTGTAGCAATGAGTGGCCTGAAAATGCAGTTAAGAGATCAATTTTATTTACAATAGCATCAACAGTAATAAAACGCTTAGGAATAAATTTAGCCAAGGAGCTGCAAGATTTGTATGCTGAAAACTGTAAAACATTGCTGAAAGAAATCAAAGAAAACCTACGTAAGTGGAAAGATATTCCAGGTTCATAGAATGGAATGCTAAATACTATTAAGTTGTAGATATCACCCAAAGCAATATATAGATTCAGTGCAATCCCTATTAAAATGTCAGTGGTCTTTGTTGTAAAGAGGGGAAAAGGTTATCCTGAAATTAATATGGAATTAGAAGAGGCTCTGAATAGCCAAAACAGTCTGGAAAAATAACAAAAGTTGTAAGACTCAGACTTTCCAATTTTAAAAATAAATTGGACTACATCAAAGATAAAAAACTTCTGTACATCAAATAACACATCAAGAATGTGAAAAAAGGGCTGGGCGCAGTGGCTCATTCCTGTAATCCCAGCACTTTGGGAGGCTGAGGTGGGTGGATCACCTGAGATCAGGAGTTTGCGACCAGCCTGACCAACATGGTGAAACCCTACCTCTGTGAAATACAGAATCAGCTGGGCGTGGTGGCAGGCGCCTGTAATACCAACTACTCGGAAGGCTGAGGCAAGAGAATCGCTTGAACCCAGGAGGTGGAGGTTGCAGTGAGTCAAGATCGTGCCATTGTACCCTAGCCTGGGCGACAGAGCAAGACTCTGTCTCAGGGGGAAAGAAAAAAAAAGTGAAAAAAGACAACCCGCAGAATGGGAAAAAATATTTGTAAATCATATTTCTAATAAGGGTTCATTATCTAGAATATATAAAGAATGCTTGTTTGTAATTTTATTTCATTTTGAGGCAGGGTCTCGCTCTGTCTCTTATACACATCTAGATGTGTATAAGAGACAGGAATTACAAGAGGCTCTGAATAGCCAAAACAGTCTGGAAAAATAACAAAAGTTGTAAGACTCAGACTTTCCAATTTTAAAAATAAATTGGACTACATCAAAGATAAAAAACTTCTGTACATCAAATAACACATCAAGAATGTGAAAAAAGGGCAGGGCGCAGTGGCTCATGCCTGTAATCCCAGCACTTTGGGAGGCTGAGGTGGGTGGATCACCTGAGGTCAGGAGTTTGCGACCAGCCTGACCAACATGGTGAAACCCTGCCTCTGTGAAATACAGAATCAGCTGGGCGTGGTGGCAGGCGCCTGTAATACCAACTGCTCGGAAGGCTGAGGCAAGAGAATCGCTTGAACCCAGGAGGTGGAGGTTGCAGTGAGTCAAGATCGTGCCATTATACCCTAGCCTGGGCGACAGAGCAAGACTCTGTCTCAGGGGGGAAAAAAAAGTGAAAAAAGACAACCCACAGAATGGGAAAAAATATTTGTAAATCATATTTCTAATAAGGGTTCATTATCTAGAATATATAAAGAATGCTTGTTTGTAATTTTATTTCATTTTGAGGCAGGGTCTCGCTCTGTCACCTGCGCTGGAGGGCAGTGGCGCAGTCACGGCTCAATGCAGCCTCAACCTCCTTGGCTCAAGTGATCCTCCTGCCTCAGCCTCTCGAGTAGCTGGGGCTACAGGGGTGTTCCACTGTGCCCAGCTAATATTTGCATATTTTGTAGAGACAGGGTTTCACCATGTTGCCCAAGCTGGTCTCGAACTCCTGGGCTCAAGCCATTCGCCGGCCTCGGCCTCCCAAGGTGCTGAGACTATAGGCATGAACCACTGTGCCTGGTCTAAACAATTCTTAAAACTCAATTATAAAAAGACAAATGGCTCAATTTTAAAATGGGCAAAGGATCTGACAGACATTTCTCCAAAGAAGGTATACAAATGGCCAAGCAGCAGATGAAAAGATGCTTAATATAATTAGTGATTACAGAAATGAAAATCAAAACAACGAGATAACCATCTCACACCCACTGGGAGGGCTATAATAATAAATTGAAAAAGGAGAGTAACAGGCAACAGTGAGGATGTGGAGAAACTGGAGCCCTCACACGTTGCTGGTGGGAATGGAAAATAGTATAGCCACTGTAGACAGTTTGGCAGTTCCTCCACATGTTAAACATAGAATTTTCATATGACCCAGCAGTACCACTCCAGGGTTTGTACTTGAAAGAATTACCAACAGGTGCTCAAAAACTTGTACTCAGTGTTCATAGCAGTACTGTTCTCAGTAGACAGAAGGTGACAACATGTTATCCAAATATCCATCAACTGATGAAGGGATAAACTAAGTGTGGTCTCTCCGTACCATGGAATATTATTCAGACAGAGAAAGGAATGACGTTGTGATACATACTACAACATGCATGAACCTTGAAAACATTATGCTAGTGAAAGAAGCCAGACACAAAAGGTCACATGTTGTAGGGTTCCCTTTATGTGAAATGTCTAGAATAGGCAGGTCCATGGAGACAGAGGGGAAATTAGTGGCTGCCAGAGACTGGGGAACAGGAAGAATGGGAATAACTGTTTTAATGTGTATAGGGTTTTCTTCTTTGTTGCTGAAAGTATTCTGCAGCTAGATAATCGTGCTGGTTGTACAGCATTGGGAATGTACTAAATGTCTCTAATGGTACGTTTTATGTTATGTGCATAATTATCACAGTTAAATGAAAAATCCAAAATTTCTTACATAAAATAAATTTAATATAGAAGGAATTAGTATAAATAATATAGCAGTAGTTAAAAGTGTGCAGATTTCTGAGTAGAGAATTATTGGACAAGCAGGGAAAGGAACCTATGAAAAGGTACATTTGAGAAAGATTATTGGCCAGGCGTGGTGGCTCACACCTGTTATCCCGGCACTTTGGGAGGCTGAGGCTGGTAGATTGCTTGAGCTCGGAAGTTTAAGACCAGCCTAGGTGGTATCTACCGAAAGTTTAAAATTTAGCTGAGTGTAGGGGCACATGGCTGTAGTCCTAGCTACTTATGAGGATTATTTGGGCCCAGGAGGCAGAGGCTGCAGTGAGCTGGAGGCAGATTGCACCACTGCACTCCAACCTGGGGGACAGAGCAAGACCCTGTCTCAAAAAAAAAGAGAAAAAAAGAAAATCAACCATAAATTTAAAATTAAAAACATTTTCTCATTTAATCTGAAATTAATTATAAAATTAATCGAAAAGGGTCCTCTGGAATGTTAATTGAGGTTTAGCTACGATTTTATTTGAGCAGGGGAGTAAGAAAAGTAAGCTAAAACAATCTTTTCGGATGGCATCTTTTCATCAAGAGACCTATAATAGAACATGATTCTTTGAGTATTCAGCATGAGGTCACCCTCTGATACTTGTAGAATTAAGGAGTATTTATTGAGACTCTTCTTTGTGGAAGGCTCTGCTCTGGATGCTAGGTATCAAGCAATTTTAATTTTATTTATTGTATATTTTGGTCATCACCAAAGTGTCTTCTCTTCTGGAGTTTCCTTGTATAAAATGCTAGTGGAGGTTTGTTGTTTTGTGTTTAAAAAGGATGAACTGCAGTTGAAACAGTTTCAGAGAGAAGGCATATTAAGATATAATGTTTCTCAAAGTGGATTTAGGGACATTAGTTGGGTTCAAATAAATTGGGGAAACACTGCATTCTATTTTGTTTTGAGACAAAGTTTTACTTTTGTCACCCAAGTTGGAGGCATGATCTTGGCTTCCTGTGGTCTCTGTCTCCTGGGTTCAAGCGATTCTCCTGCCTCAGCCTCCCAAGTAGCTGGGTTACAAGCGTGTGCCACCATGCCTGGCTAATTTTTGTATATTTAGTAGAGAAGGGGTTTCACCATGTTGGTCAGGCTGATGTTGAACTGCTGACCTGCCACAATCCACCCACCTCGGCCTCTCAAAGTGCTGGGATTACAGGCATGAGCCGCCATGCCTGGCCGGAAACACTGCATTCTATATCTCATCCCTTTACACCTGGATAAAACATGCCCTGTATTAAAGGAACAGAGTTCTACTATTTTAAAACAATGGGCTTTTATTTATTTATTTCGAGACAAAGCCTTGCTCTGTTACCCAGGCTAGAGTGCAGTGGTGTGATCTTGGCTCACTGCAACCTCTGCCTCCTGGGTTTAAGAGATTCTCCTGCCTCAGCCTCCCGAGTAGCTGGGACTATGGGAATGCACCACTACTCCTGGCTAGTTTTTGTTTTTGTTTTTGTTTTTTTGTATTTTTAGTAGAGATGGGGTTTCGCCATGTTGGCCAGACTGGTCTTGAACTCCTGACCTCAAGCATTCTGCCCGCCTTGACTTCCCATAGTGCTGGGATTACAGGCATAAGCAACCACACCCTGCCTAATATCACAGTGACTTTGATTAGGCCTGTGGAGGAATTCCCTAACAGTTAAACCAGAAACTGTGAAGGTTTTTTTGTTTTGTTTTGTTTTTTTTATTTAAAAGACAGGATCTCACTCTGTCACCCAGGCTGGAGTGCAGTGGCACAACTGTGGCTCACTGCAGCCTTGATGTCCTGGGCTCAAGCAATCTTCCTGCCGCAGCCTCCTGAGTAGCCAAGTCATGGAGACTACAGGTGTGAGCCACCATGCCTGGCTAATTTTTTTTTTGTAGTAGAGACAAGGTCTTGCTGTGTTGCCTAGGCTGGGCTCAAGTAATCCTCTTGCCTTGGCCTCCCAAAGTGCTGGGATCACAGGCATGAGCCATTGTGTCTGACCTGGGAAACTCTTTTTATAGAAAAGCTTATCAATTGCCTTTTTCTGCAGAGAGACTCCTGTAAAAACTTGGATGTAACTGAGGCCTGTTGAGGGCCATTGGGGTTCTAAAATCTATTGCTTTAATGGAAAATTATAAAAAAATTTTTCCTAGTTGCCGGTAAATTTTTCTCTTGAATATAATAAACTATTAAGATTATGGCTTGTGGCCGGGCGTGATGTCTCACGCCTATCATCCCAGCACTTTGGGAGGCCGAGGCGGGCAGATCACGAGGTCAGGAGATCCAGACCTTCCTGGCCAACATGGTGAAACCCTGTCTCTACTAAAAATACAAAAATTAGCAGGGCGTGGTGGCATGTGCCTGTAGTCCCAGCTACTTGGGAGGCTGAGGCAGGAGAATCGCTTGAACCAGAGAGTTGGAGGTTGCAGTGAGCCGAGATTGTGCCACTGCGCTCCAGCCTGACGACAGAGGGAGCCTCCGTCTCAAAAAAAAAAAAAAAAAAAATGGCTTGTGAGCAGATGGTGTTTATAGTTAAGACACACTTGCTTTGACCTAGACTGACAAGAATTTGACTTCAACCTGGAGACAACCTAAGTTTGAGAAAAGAGATATTAGATTATAATAGGATAAAGTCAGCATTTTCTTAAGATCATAATATCATTAACAGTAACTGGTGATACTTTCTAGATTTAATTCGCTCACTTCACTCTTTTGCAGGTATGATTTTTAATGAACGCGATCAGGAGTTGAGAGACTTGGGCTATCAGAAACATGCTTTTAATATGCTTATCAGTAACCGCTTGGGCTACCACAGAGATGTGCCAGACACAAGGAATGCAGCGTATGTGCCTTATCGGATTTGCAAATACATTTTAACAGCACGATGTTTCTAGTGTCAGTATAAGAGGTCACGAGGATGGTGTTCCTATTTCCCATTGTAGCCCTTTATTCAGCATACTAGGAAACTTGAGACAGATTTTCACGTGTGTTACATGTGAAGCCACAGAGTCCTAGAGCTTGCTGTGTCTCCTTTAACATTTCAGATCACCTGGGGAAGGAGAGTAGGGTGCTAATTAAAGAACCTGAGTATAAGTTTGTTCTAAGGTGCTAATTAAATAACCTGAGTATAAGTTTGTTCTAAATGTTTATTGATTGGATTCGTGGCAAATAGGAATTAAAATCAGTGAAGAATTTTACTCCTCATTTCACTTTTCTGTTTCATTATTTTTGTTCCATCAAAGGCTTTTCATGCCTGTGGTCAGTCATTCGACAGACAGACATTTGTTGAGCACCTTCTATTTGCTACATGCCTTCTTGAGCCCTGGAAGAAACAAACAAATGTAGTAGTTTCTGAGTTCTCAGGGCTCGGAGTCTAGCAGGGGAAGCAATAAGTCAACAAGTCCTGGCGGTAGCACATGAGTAGGGGCTGTGATAGGGTTTGGGGAAATGGAGGCATAGTACTGGAGTGGTCCCTGCAGAGAGGTGACAAGGCTGGAGGGAGGCAGGGCTCAGATGCTGGAGGGTTGTGTGTGTCCTGGGAAATAATTCGGGGTTCTGGATTGTGTTCTCTAAGTTCATGGCTTTTTTTTTTTTTTTGAGATGGAGTCTCACTCTGTTGCTTAGGCTGGAGTGTGGTGGCGTGATCTTGGCTCACTGCAACCTCCACCTCCCAGGTTCAAGTCATTCTCCTGCCTCAGCCTCCTGAGTAGCTAGGACTACAGGCGCACACCACCACGCCTGATTAATTTTTGTAGTTTTAGTAGAGAGGGTTTCACCATGTTGGCCAGGCTCGTCTCGAACTCCTGACCTCATGATCCGCCCACCTCGGCCTCCCAAAGTGCTAGGATTACAGGCGTGAGCCATTGCGTCTGGCCAGTTCATGGCTTTTTGATGTTGCTTAAAGCTCCTTACCCTTTTTTTTCCAAATAGTTGCTTAGAATGATTTGTTACATGGAAGCTCTTCTGTTATCTTGTTATATCATAATTTATTCAAATCTTTTTTATTATTGGGCAAAAAAATAAAATTTCAAATATAAAGTTTTATATTTGTTTCCTTTTGAAACCTCATTGAGGAGAAGCTGGGCATCAGCTTATGAGTGCTGCACGAAACACTTGCCGTGATTTTGGTAAAAAGAACTTATATTTTTATGTAACCTCTCTTCCAAAAAAGAAAAAAACCCCTGAAGTTTAAAAAATGTTTATCCGGCCGGATGCGGTGGCTCACGCCTGTCATCCCAGCACTTTGGGAGGGTGAGGTAGGTGGATCACGAGGTCAGGAGATCGAGACCATCCTGGCCAACATGGTGAAACCCGTCTCTACTAAAAATACAAAAATTAGCCGGGCATGGTGGCGCCCGCCTGTAATCCCAGCTACTCAGCAGGCTGAGGCAGGAGAATGGCTTGAACCCGGAAGTCGGAGGTTGCAGTGAGTTGAGATTGCGCCACAGCACTCCAACCTAGCGACAGAGCAAAACGCCATCTCAAAAAAAGAAGAAGTTTATCCAGAAGTAAACAAGATAGCAGGTATAGGAGGGAGACATTATTAACAAAATGTAAACTCTTGAAGAAGAAACTGTACTGTTTCTGTAAATGCTTTTAAAAAAAACATTGTTGTTCCCATAATGTTAGAAAGAGGCTGAACAGGCTGGGCATGGTGGTTCACTCCTGTAATCCCAGCACTTTGGGAGGCTGAGGCGGGCAGATCAGCTGAGGTAGGGAGTTTGAGACCAGCTTGACCAACATGGAGAAACTCTGTCTACTAAAAATACAAAATTAGCCGGGCGTGGTGGGGCATGCCTGTAATCCCAGCTACTCGGGAGGCTGAGGCAGGAGAATTGCTTGAACCTGGGAGGTGGAGGTCACGATGAGCCGAGATACTGCCCATTGCACTACAGCCTGGGCAACAAGAGGGAGACTCTGTCTCAAAAAAAAAAGGGAAGAGGGTGAACAAGGGGACAGTAAATCTGTAGGTGAATAATAATCTAAACCACTTGCACCTTTTAAAATGTCAGAATTTCTTCATCTTTATCTTTACAGATGTAAAGAAAAGTTCTACCCACCTGACCTGCCAGCTGCTAGTGTTGTTATCTGTTTCTATAATGAAGCGTTTTCTGCCTTGCTTCGGACAGTGCACAGTGTCGTAGACCGCACGCCAGCACACCTGCTTCATGAGATCATCCTTGTGGATGATGATAGTGACTTTGGTAAGGAATGCTGTAACTGGTAACATTGGATGCAGGCTGTCAGTCACTACAGCACTGACAAACATTAACACAGCTGAACTTTACAGTACGTGGTAGGTGGGGATCCTACGCATGCAGTCATAGCTGGGCTGACTACAAATAAGTTTGAAGAAATTCGTTATCTTTGTAACCTGCTTATAAACTATGCTAACCAAATTTGGCCCTTGAAATTTTGCCCATGGCTTACTTTAAAAAACACACCTCTTTTTATTTGAAATAACTGTAGATTCACAGGAAGTTACAAAGACAGTCTGTGTACCCTTCACCCAGTTTCTCCATCATAAAATTCCCCTGTCAGAAGCAGGAATCCACATTGGTACAGTGTGTGTGAGGTCCAGGGTTTTTCTGTCAACAGGTGGACCCACAACCCTCACTGCAGTGATACAGAACTGTTTCCTCACCTGGAGGGCCCTCGTGTTGCCTTTTTCTAGTCGCACCTCCTGCTTTCTTCTACTCTTCCCCAGTCCCTGAAACTGCGACTCTATGATTTTGTTTCCATCTCTGATTTTGTTATTTCAAGAATGTCATATAAATGGAATCACACAATATGTGACCTTTTGAGATGGACTTTTTTCAGTTGGCATGATGCCTTGGCTTATGCCTCTCTATTAAGTCTCTTACACTGATTGTCCCCAGATAAAAGTGGATTGCATTCTGATAGCTCCTCAACCAACTCTGAATGCCAGTATTTTATGATTCACTACATACTCCATATTCTATACGCCTTTCTTTAATTCGACATAGACTCTTGCTAAGAGTGGCTTTGTGTACCCAAACAGGATAGAAGGCTTTTTATTACACTGCTCATTCAGCTCTCAGTGACCTTACAAGAAAGGCCGGAAGCCCATTTTATAGAGGGAGAAATACAAAAATTAAGTAATTTGCTCAGGACCCCATAGCTGTTAAGTAGTAGAGTGGAAGTGAGACCTGTAGTCTGCATAGCTCCAAGCCTTCTGCTCTTTTCATGACAGCAGCCTGCAGAAACACAGTGGTACAGGTGTATGCCAGTGACTTTTTCACACACTCAGGCATTTCTTAAGTGCCACTTGTATCAACATCAGAGTTGGTATATCAGTATACTTAAATATAGACGGTAAAGAAATGGACAGAGACTCATGGGAACAAAATTCTCAAACCTTGGCTAAAAACAAACAAACAGAAAACCTAACAAATAAATCTGGGTCTGGACCAAGTAGAAGATTGGTTAGTACTGATTTCTAGAATTTATGGTGGTGGTTTTTTTTTTTTAAGTCAACTTGTATTTTGGTTTTCACTTTGTGGCTATTTTATCTAAAAGGAAAAATTCATAATTTGGGGTGGTTTGTATATTAACTATGGAAAGAATTACTGCTTATTATCTTACATGATCTTTCAAGTTATTATGAAATATACAGGTGAGTGACATAGAATTCCTTAAAAAATATTTAGCAACCTTGGAAGAAAGATGCTGAATTAATAAAACAACATATTCAATGCTGTTCTTGTTATTCTTGGTAGGGGCAGTAGAAGTTTCTTAAATATTTTGAAGTGGACTAAGACTTAATAAATTCCTTTGTAATAAAAGGCATTTATATCTCATTTTCTTTGTTATCACTGTGATTTATATACAGTCAGCTGAACATTTATGCACTCGAAATACTCATTCCAAACATTGTTTATGCAAAGTATTGTGCTTGATGCTATGGAGATACAAATAAGTCTATAATTAAAGTAAGTATTCCTCTTGGCTAATATTCCAGCTCTTACCCTTCATTTCTTTCCTTCCTTTTTCTTCCTACAGGATAAGCTACAATACTCATTTAAAATAATACTCTATATTTTGTTTTATTGATGTGAATTTTAGCAAGTACTAGATACAACTTTAGAATAGTTGTAAAGTGTCTTTATATATGTCTCATACAGCTTGAATAATTGTGGGACTCTATTTTCAGATGATTTGAAAGGAGAACTAGATGAATATGTCCAAAAATACCTCCCTGGAAAAATTAAAGTCATAAGAAATACAAAGCGTGAGGGATTGATTCGAGGAAGAATGATTGGCGCGGCCCATGCAACAGGTATCACTTGTTAGCTTTGCTCAACTGGTGTTGGAAGACAAGGGCTCCAGCCTCAGCACCTGTCCTGATTCTGCAAAGTCTATGAAAAGTGGTGTTTCAAATGGACATTGCCAGCAGGAGAGATGAGGCTTGTTCTGTTTGGGAAAGGCCTGTTCATAACTCCAGGCCTGCTTGCTACCCCAAAGCACGTAGTGGACGCAGTGCACGTAGTGGACGCAGTGCACGTAGCGCACGGAGTGGACGTAGCGCACGTAGTGGACGTAGCGCACGTAGTGGACGTAGCGCAGGTAGTGGACGTAGCGCAGGTAGTGGACGTAGTGCAGGTAGTGGACGTAGTGCAGGGGGCTGAACTCTCAAATCCTCAGTGTCTGTTTTCATAGCGACGCTTTTTTGATCGTTATTGCCCCTCAAATAGATTTTATATCTTGTTCACTTATATAAGCAGAAAAGCCCGGACCAAAATGTAACTGAACTTTTATGTTTTTAAATACAAAATTTAAAAGTATGAACCCAAACTGTTGAACTATGCTTTTAATTCTTAGTGCAGAGTGCATCCCTCTGGAGCTACACATCATTACTTTAATTGGTAAATGGATGTAAGATTGACTTACATAACTATAAAAGGCATTTTCTTTAAAATTCCCTCTTAATTCTTCTGATTCCATCAAGGAGAAAGTCTCCATTGTTACTGGTGTATCTTTAAAACCTTTCCATCATACACTGATCTCCCCCTTTAGAAAGAAATAACATCTCAATTTCAGTCTTCTGTAGAAAATATATCTGGTTAGTCTTCAATTACATTATAGATTCTGTTGTATTTCCTTTTATGGTTACCTATGTGTAATTGGTCTCCCTGAGTTTCATTTATGATTATAATTTTAAAAAAATTTAAAATAAATTTAAAACAAATGAATCTGTTTAAAAATGTTAGGTGTATGATATTGCAGGTAGTGCATGGACATGGCAAAAAAATTTTGAAAGTCATTTGAGAATGACGGAACTCGGTGGGGACATTCCCTAGCAGTGACAGCATCTACTGCAGTCCTTCCTGTATTCCACGCTCTTCTAGATAACCTGCCACTGGGTTTGTGGTGGTCGGCACTGCTCACCGCCGCTCCCCCTGTGGAGCCACTGGCTGTGCTGGGCTGAACTAGGACTTCACTTTTAGAATCTGTCTTCTCTTCTTTCTCTTAAACCCACAGTGACCTGAAGCAATTAACAAAAAAGAGAAGCAGCTCCTCTACATCCCATCTGCAGTGGATGCAGACTGAATTCAAGGCTTGTGAGACTATTTTTTCTAGGTTTCTAGTCATGTAAAGATTTACTGAATTGACTGTGTGGAGTTATTCAAGGCAAAGCAATAGAGTGAAAATTGTGGGGTATTTTCAGTATTAAGCCACTCAAAACATGGTTCCGTTAGAATGCATGTTTACTATGAATTGACTGTTTTTAGATAGCAATAGTTATTTAGGTTTTTTTCCCTTTATGATCTCTTCAGGTCCTCATTCAGATATAGTTTAGGATCTGTCAGAAGCAAGTCAGTTTGCGTGGAAGTCATTGTTTCAGGTTCACTGTGACCAGGTATAGTCTTCATTTAGTTAAATTGGTGTTAATTGGAAAAAGTAACACTTTTAGAATAAGAAAAGCTCTGAATCCATTTTCTCCTCTAAGCAATCATGATTGAATTGATCCCACCTCACCCCCACTGATGTGCATATGGGAGGTTCTGCCTTTCTGCATTCAGTGACGGGGGCGGGGGGGGGGGGGGGGGGGGGTGCCTGCTGCCTACATCCCCACAGCTTCAGGCTGTTTACAGACACTGATCTGTGGGACTGATTCACGGGCATCATTGAAAACTGAGATACTGCTTTTATCACTAGTTGAAGTTGGATAAATAACATCTGGTGCTTTAAGTAGTTCATGTAAAATCTTGATACATTTCACGAGTGCACTTTTAGAAAAACAATAATGCGACCTGATGATGAGATTCTAAGTTTCTCAACTGCTCAGAACAACCATGGAGCTCTTAAATTTGAAATTATATGTTAAAAAAAAAAAAATCCTCAGTTCTGCTCACATTTATCAAAGGGAGCTTAAAGTGCAGGATAAAAGGTTGATGATTTATATTTTGCTAGCTAGAAGAAAGGTGTATCCCATTGGCAGATGAGAGCCACTGAAGCCAAGAGGGTGGGGGGCAGTAGAAAGGAAAGGTGGGAGATGGAAGAAACAGAAATGAGCAAGAGGCGTCCCCGACAGCGCCCCCGGCTGCACCTCTCTCTCCGGGAGAACTGCTGTGTGGCAGCAGCCAGCCATGGTTACAGTGCATTTCCTCGTCACCAGTGAGAAGGCAGCTGTGTTCTCTGTACTCTGTTTACTGAGGCAGATGTATTGTAAGTGTGTGCTAAATTTCGAAATATTTTGATTAAAATAATTGTAATAAAAATATCTACACAACTGGCCACTGTCGTGGCACCAAAACATCTTGAAATACTCAATATCTGGCCTTCCAGAGAGTTGACTTGTTCCTGTGAGACTGACTCCGTTTCCTGAAGAGAGTGAATTGCCTGTCCGTTTTCTCAAGAGGCGCGCCTGTGATTTGTATGGGTCCCTCAACTACAGCAGGACACTGCTCGCAGCATTACTGGCTGAGGGACGTCCTTGCTGACCATCAGCAGCGAAGTGTGGTGCAGCAGTTAAGCCGTCTGGGGCTGGCAGGGTGGCAGTCGTGTTTCATGCTGTGTCACTGCATCATCCCATTGGACGAGTGGCTGTGCCTAAATTGAGTGTTGCAACACTCTCCTGAGCCTCTGTTGTTTCCTCCCCAGGAGAAGTCCTTGTGTTCCTGGACAGCCACTGTGAAGTGAATATGATGTGGCTGCAGCCCTTGCTGGCCGCCATCCGTGAGGACCGGCATACTGTGGTGTGCCCAGTGATCGACATCATCAGCGCCGACACCCTGGCCTACAGCTCGTCCCCTGTCGTCCGCGGAGGGTTCAACTGGGGGCTGCACTTCAAATGGGATCTTGTCCCCTTTTCTGAGCTAGGAGGAGCGGAGGGAGCCACTGCACCAATAAAGTAAGATCGCCCCTTTGTTTGAAAAATTCCGCCGGGCGCGGTGGCTCAAGCCTGTAATCCCAGCACTTTGGGAGGCCGAGACGGGCGGATCACGAGGTCAGGAGATCGAGACCATCCTGGGTAACACGGTGAAACCCCGTCTCTACTAAAAAAAAACACAAAAAACTAGCCGGGCGAGGTGGCGGGAGCCTGTAGTCCCAGCTACTCGGGAGGCTGAGGCAGGAGAATGGCGTGAACCCGGGAGGCGGAGCTTGCAGTGAACCGAGATCCGGCCACTGCACCCCAGCCTGGGCGACAGAGCGAGACTCCGTCTCAAAAAAAAAAAAAAAAAAAAGAAAAATTCCTACCAGTGCTTCCTTACAAGAGAAAAAAATGATATTAAAGATAATTCCTCCTTTGTAAGGAGCAAAAGTGTTGACTTAATTTGTACATTAAAAAATTCTTGAGTATGTATTGAATTGTATGCAGTCTGCCAAGTCCTAAGGAAACATTGATGAGTAAGATACTAGATGTCCCCTCAAGGACTTAGAGCCTTGTGAGAAAGGCAGACAGACCACGCCACCATTGCAGAGGAAGCCCTGGGAGGGCCCATGTGGTGTTTGCTCTTGGTATGTCAAACACCGTGGTGTATTTATTGTTCACTAACTTACCTTCAGTTGTTTGGTAACCTGAGTGATGCTGTGGAAAACATTAATGCGTAAGCCTTTGCTTCCATTAGGATTTTGAAGTTGTATTCCTGCTAGTATAATTATTAAAGTCATAGTATAGGAATTATTTTATGTTCTCATCTGTGTTTCATCTTCTGTAATATAAATCTGCCCTTCTTTCTTATTTTTGTTTTCTTTAAAAATTTCTTACGTAGACTGAATTCAGAGAGGTTTGCCTGTATTTTAACTTTTTAAAGAATGCAACATTTGGGCCGGGCGCGGTGGCTCAAGCCTGTAATCCCAGCACTTTGGGAGGCCGAGATGGGCGGATCACGAGGTCAGGAGATCGAGACCATCCTGACTAACACGGTGAAACCCCGTCTCTACTAAAAAAAAAAACAAAAAAACTAGCCGGGCGCGGTGGCGGCGCCTGTGGTCCCAGCTACTCGGGAGGCTGAGGCAGGAGAATGGCGGGAACCCGGGAGGCGGAGCTTGCAGTGAGCTGAGATCCGGCCACCGCACTCCAGCCTGGGCGGCAGAGCGAGACTCCGCCTCAAAAAAAAAAAAAAAAAGAATGCAACATTTGTTCTTGATTTGCCAGAGTGTGATCAAAATTGGTACTTTCTCCAAACGATGCCAGGATCTCAGAATGTTCACGTTTCAGTTATTTTTCCCCCAATTTACTTGTTATTGTTGCTGTCCACATAATTTAAAACCCAGAAGCCATTTCTTACATAGCAGTATTCACACAGGCTTGCCCAAGTATCTCCCCTTTATGTTACCCTGTTCCTTCTGCAGCTGCAGGCTCTATCCGGGATTGCTCTCGTCCTGGCTGAAGAACACTCTTAGTCGTTCGTTTAGTTGGACCTCCTAGTGATTAGTCCTCTGTTTTTCCGAAAATGTCCTTGTGTTTCAGCATTGTTTTGAACAACATGTTACTCAATATCCAGTTCTAGGTTGGCAGTGGCAGACATGCATGTTCTTTCAGCGTTTGAAGGCATCATTCAAGAACCTTCTGGCATTCACCATTTCAGACAGGAAGTCAGCATTGTTAGTCTTACTTTGCTTCCCTTAAGATAATCTCTTTCTCATTGGCTGCTTACATTTTTTTGGTCTTGTTTTTAAAAAGTGTTTTTTGGATATGTATAAACATGGTTACTTTTTTGAAGTAACTAATTTGCTGCCGAATTCTGCCTTGTCTTTTTCTTTGAATATACTGAGCAATTAAAGTCTTTGCTTGATGATTCCATATTTGAAACCCCTGCGTATCTGTTTCTGTTGTATGTTGTTTCTCTCATTTTGCTTTCATATGATTTTATCTTCCCATTTGCCTGGTTATTTATTTGTTGCTTATTTTTGCTTAGTGCCAGACATGATGTATGAAAAATTATAGAAATACATTCATACCTGGGATGATGTTTTTTCCCTGCAGAGATAATTTTGCTTCTCTTCTGCAGGCAGCTTGGGCCACTAGAATCCACACTCCTCTCTGTCTAGTTTTAGGAAGTGAGCGGACTGGAAGCTAGCTCGAGTCCCTGAGAGGACCAGTCTACGGCTTTTCTCAGTCCAGCACAGCGCTTCTCAGCCTTGGCACTACTGACATTTTGGGCCAGATACTTCTTTGTTGTAGGGGCCCTCTTGTGCATTTTAGGATAGGTAGCAGAATCCCTGACCTCAGCCCAGATTCTGGGAGCACCCTGCCTGCCACACAAACACATCAAGACGTGACAGCTAAAAATGCCCTCAACATTATGAAATGACCGTTGGGGACACAGTCATCCCAGTTGAGAGCCACTGGTCTAACGTGTGAGTCCAACTCCCAGTGTGTGATGTTTGTCAGGTCTCTCCTTGGTGGACCTTAGAGCCCAGTTTTGATCCCCAAGGCTCTGTGAGATTGTCAGAAGGAATGACCATATCAGGTGGCTTTCTATCAGAAATGGTTATAATAGGAAAGAACCTCTGAGACTTAGAAAAGTAGCCTTCGTATGCCAGATACTAGCATATTATTAGCAATCTAGAAAATTCAGTTGTATGGCCTGGCTCATTCTCTGATACTGGATAACATGTTTCATAATCATTAATTCAATTTTTATTAGTTATGTTCCAAAATGACACTGAGTATTTTAAACAAAAGTAGTAGGTAAGATAACTGACTATGTGGAATGAGTACAGTAATTGTTTTCCTTTTTCGAGGTCACCAACAATGGCTGGAGGTTTGTTTGCCATGAACAGACAGTATTTCCATGAACTTGGACAGTATGATAGTGGCATGGATATCTGGGGAGGAGAAAACTTGGAAATATCATTTCGGGTAATTTTTTTGCATGCTCAATTAATAACTGTGTATAGTGGAATATGATTTTCATCCATGATCTCATATTTTCTTTATGTTCTCCTTGATTATTATATTTTTTGAGATAGGGTCTTTCTCTGCCGCCCAGGCTGGAGTGCAGTGGTGTGATCATAGCTCACTGCAGCCTTGACCTCCTGGGCTCAAGCGATCCTCTTGTCTCAGCCTCCTGATTAGCTGGGACTGCAGGCACATGCCTGTAGTTTTTCTATTTTTTGTAGAGATGGGGTCTCACTGTGTTGCCCAGGCTGGTGTTGAACTCTTGGGCTCAAGTGATCCTCCTGCCTCGGCCTCCCAGAGTGCTCCATGATTATCTTTATTGACAAATTGTCCTTAATGAATGCTACCTTGCCAGAATCTGTGATATGGATAGTATCTGTTCGAAACGTCAGAAGTGTACATGTTGATCCATTGACTAGGAAAACAACAACAAAATGAAAAAGCATGTAAGAAGCCATATATTTATTCATATTTTTTTTTTTGAGACAAGGTTTTGCTCTGCTGTCCAGGTTGGAGTAGCGTGGCATGAACACAGTGGCTCACTGCAGCCTTGAACTCCGGACTCAAGCAACCCTCCCACCTCTCAGCCTCCTAAGTAGCTGGGAGTAGAGGCGCATGTCACCACACCTGGCTAATTTTCTATTTTTTGTAGAGATGCGAGTCTCGCTATGTTGCCCAGGCTGGTCTTGAACTCCTGGACTCAAGCAATCCTCCTGCCTTGACTTCCCAAGGTGTTAGGATTATAGGCGTGAGCCACTGTACCTAGTCTGTTTCTGTGGACTTAGAGGTACAAGTGCATAGTGTGTGGTGGTAAAGTCTGACTTTTAGTGTACTCATCACTGGAATAATGGACATTGTACCCAATAGGTGGTACTTCATCCCTCACTCCCCTCCCACCTTTTAGAGTCTCCAGTATCTGTTACTCCACTCTGTGTATGTATGTGTGTGTGTGTGTGTGTGTGTATATATATTTAAATTATAAAAAGTATTGTTGTAAAGAATGGTTGGATATAAATTTAGAATGTTTTAGTGTGCTAATTTAAAGGTTTGTTCTTTTTTTGTTGGTTTATTTTATTGATACTACCAGATACATATAGTCAGGGTGACCAGATTTCCCTAAGGCCTAGGACCATCCTAGTTCATACCTGTTGTCTTGGAAAAATTAATAGCTTCCCATTGTACTTTCAGAAACAGCTCAGTTCGATGCTGCCTTATACCGTCACCCCGTGTATAGCTTACTAAGTCCTTTGTGTATACAGGTACCCCTGTCCTGAGGAAGAAACCCACCTTGCATTATCTGTCTTCTCCAATTGCTTAGGTTTGAAAGGTAACAGTGTAGGTGGGGTCTGTGGCTCAGAGGACCATGGTGCAGACAGTCTTTGGAAAAGGCAGAAAGAGGGCAAGGGGAGAGCTGAGACTTCTCCTTCCAAGCAGATATCCCAGTATTTCTCCCAACCATCTCCTAGTCCAGTTAGCAGAATCCCTATCAGATAATACCATGATACTTGTTCATATGTCCTTTTGTATTTCTGCAAATGTATTGACTACAGTATTTCTAAAAAGCAGGTTTTGGCTGGGTCTGTGGTGGCTCACGCCCATAATCCCAGCACTTTGGGAGGCCAAGGCGGGCTGATCCTGAGGTCAGGAGTTCAAGACCAGCCTGGCCAACATGGTGAAACCCCGTCTCTACTAAAAATACAAAAAAATTAGCTGGGCGTGGTGGTGGGTGCCTGTAATCCCAGCTACTCAGGAGGCCGAGGCAGGAGAATCGCTTGAACCTGGGAGACAGAGGTTGCAGTGAGCCAAGTGCCACTGCACTCTAGCCTGGGGGACAAGAGCAAGGCTGTGTCTCGACAACAACAACAACAACAACAACAAAAGCAAGTTTTCATTCTGTAAGTTTTAGAATGTTAGGGTTAAAGGCGTAATAGATTTTATTGTGCCTCTTATTTAATAGATTTTATTATTAAAAGTTCAGTCTCTTTTATTTATTTTTTTAAAAATAAGGTAATCAAGTCCCACAAAAACAAACTTAACTTCAAAGTAATTCAGATAGTCAAGGACAGAATTTAGACCAGAGCTAACGTCTTTTGAATCTTAATCTGGAGTTATTCTATATATTTTATATTTAAAAATCTGTTTTCTAAAAAAGAATATGCATTGTATAAGCAAGTACCTGTGAAACTGAAATGAGAAGACCAGGTAATAAGCACTTCTTGTCCTTAAGTGCCTAACATCAAGTCTCTTGATCTGTTAAAGCGACAGAGTTGGGTAAGTGCAATTTCAGACACATGGTAGTAAATACTTACTATGTGCGTTGTTTTAGAATTCAGTTCCTTGTAATGATAAAGACAGGTAATTTTTAACAATGTGTACCTTCTCATTTTCTTCTATTTGAATATTTGTATCTAATGAGATGTAAATATCTTGCCAAGTTTCATAAACACCTATTGAATAAAGATGAATTTCATTGAAAATTCATACCTTGGTTTCACAATAACATGAGGCAACTGTTCACACGTGTTTTTGCTTCTGACCAGATCTGGATGTGTGGCGGTAAGCTTTTCATCATCCCTTGCTCTAGAGTAGGACACATTTTCCGAAAAAGGCGACCATATGGATCTCCTGAAGGCCAGGACACCATGACACACAACTCTTTGAGGCTGGCACATGTCTGGTTGGATGAATACAAGGTGAGATGAAATTTCTTGTTTAGAAGGATGAATGATAGGCCAGTAGTGACTGGCCTAGTGATAGCTTTGGTTGCTTTACTTTTCACTCTGGCATATTTCTCTTGGTTAACCTTCACCTTAGGGCCGACTCTTTCTAGTTTCCCCCCACCCTCTTCACCTAGTACTTCACTTCTTTTTGGTTCTAATCTGACTCTTGTAATTTTGTGTCTACTCATACAAATGGAATCATAAACCACGTGGTCTTTTCCATCTGGCTTCTTCAGTCGAGCACAGCGTTTTCGGGTTTGTCTGTGCCGCACCATGTATGGATGGGTCTGCATTCCTTTTCATTGCCAAATAATATTCCATTGTATGAACAGATCACATTTTACTTTATCCATCCAGCTGATCAACATTTAGGTTTTTTCCACTTTTTTTTTTTTTGAGACAGAGTCTCACTCTATCACCCAGTCTGGAGTACAGTGGCGTGATTTTGACTCACCGCAGCCTCCGCCTCCCAGGATCAAGTGATCCTCCCACTTCAGCTCCCTAGGGACCGTAGATGCACGCCACCATGCCCGACTAATTTGTGTATTTTGGTGGAGATGGGGTTTTGCCGTGTTACCCAGGCTGGTGTGAAATTCCTGAGCTCAGGCAATCCACCTGCCTTGGCCTCCCCAAAGTGCTGGGATTATAGGTGTGAGCCATCACGCCTGGCCTGTTTCCACTTTTGACTGTTATGACAAATGCTGCTGTGAATTTTTTTTTTTTTTTGAGATGGAGTTTCACTCTTGTTGCCCAGGCTGAAGTTCAGTGGTGCAATTTCGGCTCACTGCAACCTCCATCTCCTGGGTTCAAGTGATTCTCCTGCCTCAGCCTCGGCCTCCCGAGTACCTGGGATTACAGGTGTGTGCCACCATTCCTGGCTACTTTGGTTTTTTTAGTAGAGATGGGGTTTCACCATTTTGGTCAGGGTGGTCTCGAATTCATGACCTCAGATGATCTGCCAGCCTTGGCCTCCCAAAGTGCTGGGATTACAGGCGTGAACCACCGCGCCCGGCTGCTGCTGTATTTGTGTAGTTATTTTTTAAACATTTGTTGTGCACCTCCTGTATGCCAGGCTCTGTGTTAGGTTTTTGAGGGATAAAAGATGAATAAGGGAGTGCACAGTAATGTTTCACACCGTGAGGAAAATGTAAACAGAGACCTGCAGTGTGTGCTGGAGTGAGAGGGACAGAGCGGTGCGCTGTGTTTGGGGGCAGTCGGGACTCCACGGTGTTTCTTCTATAGCACTGTTTATCTCCCTTCTCCCTCCTTGACCAGACTTTCAGGTCTAATTCCATGCTTATCTCTGAACCATCACTGGCTACCATAGTTCTCAACACATGGTCCCAGTCCTAGCCACTCTCTGAGGAGGTCTGCCAGTTTAAAATCATTTTCAGAGGTTACAGTATTTGCCTCTTTGACCATGTTGACATTGCACTGAGTGTGTAAAATCAGGCGAGTAAAGTGGCTAGTGCCTTAGCATAAATCGAGGCATCATCACCCAGTTATACTGTAGTCACTGCATTCTTCACCAGCACTCACTCAGAAGACAAAGGCCAGTTTCATTTCTGAATGTCATTGATATAATAATAATTTTAGTAAATCTCAGTGTGCCTTTTTAGTATCCTGTGTGAGTACGCATGCTGACACAGAACGCACTTCTGCTGCGTACTGAAGTACCGTGGTTGGTTCAAGGAAAAACACTTGTGCGGCTGTTTGGGTTGTGGGCGAAGCTAGCCACTGCTTTCCAGGAATGCTCTTTTTATGTGTTAAGACTGACTGACTCACAAACCATAATTACTCATATTTGGGTAAAACGAACTAAATAATGAAAATGAAAACAACTGACAGTATTTGTTGCAAATGATAAAATTCAAGCTCTCAAGTGAAAATTAGAATTTGAAAAACTTACATTTACCACCAGGAGCTTGACAGCTTCCTAGTACTTAAAAATTTTACTTGGCCGGGTACGGCCTGTAATCCCAGCACTTTGTGAGGCCAAGGCAGGAGGATCACCTGAGGTCGGGAGTTCGAGACCAGCCTGACCAACATGGAGAAACCCCGTCTGTACTAAAAATACAAAATTAGCCGGGTGTGGTGGTGCGTGTCCGTAATCCCAGCTACTCAGGAGTCTAAGGCAGGAGAATGGCTTGAACCCAGGAGGTGGAGGTTGTGGTGTGCCGAGATCGTGCCATTGTACTCCACCTGGGCAACAAGAGTGAAACTTCATCTCAAAAAAAAAAAAAAAATTTCTTTACTGAGGAGATCAGTGGTATATATATATATATAAATTTTTGATATTGTATGGTGAAATTTTTCAGTATTTGGTAGAACAGCACAATCCAGTGGACTAGTATTTTCCAAATGATTAATGCAGGCTGTTACAAAAACGGGTGGAAGATCCATTCAGAGAGCCATACAGACCATGAGATTTTATTTGTCTTTTTTGAGTCAGAGTCTCACTCTGTCGCCCAGGCTGTAGTGCAGTGGCACAATCTCAGTTCACTGCAGCCTCCACCTCCCGGGTTCAAGTGATTCTGCAGCCTCAGCCCCCAAGTAGCTGGGATTACAGGCATGCGCCACCGTGCCCAACTAATTTTTCTATTTTTCTCATAGAGAGGGGGTTTCACCATGTTGGCCAGGCTGGTCTCAAACTCCTGACCTAAAGTGACCTGCCTGCCTTGGCCTCCCAAAGTGCTGGGATTACAAGTGTGAGCCACCATGCCCAGCCGATAGACCAGTACATTTTAACGCAACCGTGTACAAATCTTAGTGTGATTTCATATTCCGCGTTGTAACTAAACTTCAAACGTTATTGAATTTTGGAGTAGTGTTAACCCCATAATTATATATAGGTTGTAATTTTAAAAATACATATATTTAACCAAAACAATACACAGCAGCAGGCTAAATGCAGATGTGAGAATTTAGCTAACTTGTTTTAAGCCAGCCAGCCAGCAAAAAGGTTTGCAAAAATATAAAGCAATGTCACTGTTCTCACTAAATCTTGTGTTTGTAATGAGTTTTTAATTATTTTAAGGAATTAATAATTTGTAGGTTTCTCTGTTTTAATTTCTGTATGATAAATATGAACAGACACAGCCCACACACGCAGACCCTCCTGGGAGTTTTCCGTAATTTTTAAGAACATCGATTACTGAGACTCATGAGTTTGAGACCCACTGATCTCATATATACGCCTGTTTCAGTGATTCTCAGATACAGTTTAAGGTACATGTTATCATCATTGTTAGTAATGGACTTCATCATGTAAAAAATATATCATTGTATAATCATTTTTAGCAAAAAATTTGATTTTCTTATTTTTACTTTTTTAAAATTCAGGAGCAGTATTTTTCCTTAAGACCTGACCTGAAGACGAAAAGCTATGGAAATATCAGTGAGCGTGTTGAATTGAGAAAGAAGTTGGGTTGTAAATCATTTAAATGGTATTTGGATAATATATACCCAGAGATGCAGATATCTGGGCCCCACGCCAAACCCCAGCAACCCATTTTTGTCAACAGAGGGCCAAAACGACCGAAAGTCCTTCAACGTGGAAGGGTAAGAAAACAGTCTTTTCCAGGTGTCTTATGAAAAGTGTTTGATATGAAAAGTTTTGAAGTGTCCATAAGCTATAACAGATGACACTGTGGATTTAACAGAGTCTAATGACAGACTTCAGCTTGCCTTTCATTATAATCTGTTTATGAGAACTTCCTCTACGCAAGTGTAGGACCTCAAGTGTAGATCCTTGCCTTGCCGGCATAGTTGCCTTCTGTGAGGCTAAGTTATGTGACAGTTTCCAAGAGTGCAGAGGCACATGGGAATACACCCTGGACAGAGGCCATGGAATTGTCAGAGGACAGGCCAAAAAGGAAAACAAGTGGAGCATGGGGCAGGGATCTGCTGTTTGCTCTTAGTTCTGGGAACCAAGTCACAGACAGTGCGGAGGTGGTAGTGAGGGCCAGAGTAGGGGAATGGGGTGGGATTTCACGTCTGGTGTTCCCAGAAGTCACCTGAGCTCAGCAGAAAGCACATTCATCAACCACATTTCCTTAGCTGTCTTTGTGTCTTAAACTCATTACAGTTATATAGTCACAGGGATCCGGCCAGAAAATCATCCCTTTCTCCTGAGTCATCTCTTAGAGTTGGCTTCTAAAAGCTAAGGGCATCTACTGTCTGTGTTGCCCAGTGTCCCTTCTTTTATGAAGAAGGCACTTCTGCCAGAACGGTGCCAACTCTCCCTCAGTGGCTAGGAGGAAGCCTAGAGCTTTTCCCCTTCCTCCTCTCTACTCTATAAGAAGACAAAAAAACAAAAACAAAAATAAAACAAAAACCCAGCATCAAGATGTTTAGTATTAGGTATTTTTCTCTAAGTAAAAGAGAGCAGTGTGTGCCCATGTAGTTGATCCCTTACCATTATTACTTCTTGCTGTTTGTCTCGCCCTCACAGTTCTGCGATAGTTGTCATCTGTGTATCTCCAGTGTAGCCTGCATATTGCATTTCATTGTGTACTTTTTTACACATGTTGTTCTTATATCCCTGACTTCATTTGAAAGTTCTTTAGGGCAGGGATGACATTTTAATTTCCTTCATCTGCTATAGATTAGTGAACATGTATATGCAGCTAGAATTCCTAGCTGACACTGCCTGCATGTTAAAATTGCTAATAACTTTTGGAGTTGTAACTTTTGTCTTATCTTGATGCTCCTGTGTTCTGAGGCTAGAACTTAGGAAGTAAAAATGCATATCTTGGAATTCGTACCTCCGGAATAACCTTTCACATTTCGCCCGGAACCACCTCCAGGCTTGGGAGGCGTCTCTGGGATTGCTTCCCGCATTCTGAGCTGAGTGCCTTCTTTTACAGCTCTATCACCTCCAGACCAACAAATGCCTGGTGGCCCAGGGCCGCCCAAGTCAGAAGGGAGGCCTCGTGGTGCTTAAGGCCTGTGACTACAGTGACCCAAATCAGGTGAGTGAGGCCTCAGAGCTCACAGCCAGTGCCTGCAAGGTGGCTTCCAATGAAGGGAAACTGCTGGCAGTCACTCCTGAGGACATCAGTGTCTACTATTCTGGCGTTTCTTAACACATTTATGCGTAGTGTTCCGTTATTGGAACACTAAGCTTATGGGGCTTATCTGTATCCTACTGCTCAAGGTCATCGCCAGGGTCTGATTTTTCACCGAAAAAAATTACAGCCTTCGGCATAGATGGGTTAAAAGGATGAGAGTGGCCTTAGATGACACCTCAGTCGGCTACTTTCGTCTTCTTTGTATGTTTTTCCTACCTCTGCTCATTGTCATGGAACATTTTAATTGTTTACACCATTATTTGTACTTTCTAACATTATAGGGAATAACTTGTGACTTACGAGCCATAGGAATTTGTTAGAAATGGCCAAGGGAAGCACTACAGAGTTTCAGTTCATTCCATTCACATAATTTAATTTCAGCTTATGTATGTCTCCTAAATAATATTAAAATGGTCCTAAAAATCAGCAAATAACTTGGACTTCAATTGAGAACAGCAATTTCAAACTCGTTTGTGTCTGATAAAATAGCATAATGTAACAGCGGTCTAATCTCATAAACTGTAGTGTCTCATTTTTATTTTAGTGGTGGGTTGGTGTCACTCAGAAAAAACAAACAAAAGCCACTTGGACTTTTTGGTAAATAATGTATACTGTGACATTTCTTCAAACATTCTTCCAGAAGAGTTCATGCCCACTGTCTCAGGTGATACATGTGTTGAAAACATGGTTAAAAAGGGATTTCTGGGGCCCAGCGCGGTAGCTCATGCCTGTAATCCCAGCACTTTGGGAGGCTGAGGTGGGTGGATCACGAGGTCAGGAGTTCAAGACCACCCTGACCAACATGGTAAAACCCCATCTCTACTAAAAATACAAAAAAAATTAGCTGGGTGTGGTGGTGCGTGCCTGTAATCCCAGCTACTCCGGAGGCTGAGGCAGGAGAATTGGTTGAACCTGGGAGGTAGAGGTTACAGTGAGCCAAGATTGTGCCACTGCACTCCAGCCTTGTGACAGAGTGAGACCCCGTCTAAAAAAAAAGGGGGATTTCTGTGCAGCTTCTGGGTAGAAGAGGTGGCAGTGTTGTGGAAGTATTAAAATTGTGGTGACATTTCAGTGGTGTAGGTCACAGATGAGAGCTAAAATTTGTTCCAGAAAATATAAGTTGGGGTGATGGAGTTATCCTATTCTAAAGGTACTGTGTTGTCACTTTATAGTTGTGCTAATTCTGTAGCCACCAGTCACATTTCAAGTGTACAATAGCTGCATGTGGCCAATAGGTCCCTTACTGGACACACAGGCTATGAAACAATAGCAGTGTTGCAGAAAATTCTCTCACAGCTCCCTATGACTCTGATCGAGGGTCTTCATGTTCGTGAACACTGCACACGTCCATTTGGAGTCTGTCAGTTGAAGCAATGAGTAAATAGAACAGAAGAGAACAGATTTCCTTTTGAGCGTAGTGATGGCGCATGTTGGAGAGTGAGGTGTTCACTGCACTTGCCATGTCACCCAGGTGTGTTCCTGAAGATAATCTGTGATTCAGTCTATGCGCTTCCTAACTGCCCCACCGATGAGGAATCAATGAAAATGGCAGCCATGTGCCCTTCTGTCTCCAGAGGGTCAGCCAGAGGCTTGTTGGGCTCCTCTATCACCTACACAGTCCAGGAATTAATGTTGTTCAGTCTTAAAATTCGTTATCTAAATTTAATTTTTTTTTCTTCTCTAGATCTGGATTTATAATGAAGAGCATGAATTGGTTTTAAATAGTCTCCTTTGTCTAGATATGTCAGAGACTCGCTCATCAGACCCACCACGGCTCATGAAATGCCACGGGTCAGGAGGATCCCAGCAGTGGACCTTTGGGGTGAGGAGTGCTCGGTGATGTTGGGAGAATGTACAGAGACCCACAAGGTTGAGTGAGGGGTGCAGCAGATGAACTCATTTTGTACCTTGGGGGTGATCTTCTCAGATTGCAGTACAGTGGTCCCCCTGAGTGGATGCCTGAAACCACAGGCAGTACAAACCCTGTATATACTCTATTTTTTTTCTAGAGAGATACCTGTGATAAAATTCATCAGTTAGGCACAGTAAGAGGTTCACAACAATAACTCTAAAGAACAGAACAGTTACAACAGCATACTGTGGTTGTGCAGTGGCTCCCACCTGTTGTAATCCCAGCACTGAGAAGGCTGAGGTGGGAGGATTGCCAAAGCCCAACAGCCTGTTTGTTTTCTCTATAAAAATAAATCAATATACTATAATACAAATTGTGATTGTGGTCAGAAAGTATCTTACTGTACTGTACTACAGGTAACAAAGAGCAGAAAACTAATCTTTGGATAAGAGAGACTATTGTATCCCTTAGTCTGAATTCTTAAATGTTCCGTATCTCTTCTGGATTTCCACATTTTGCCAGTAATTGGCAGTATTTTTTTTCTTGCTACCTTTTTTTTTTTTTTCTTTTTCCAGAAAAACAATCGGCTATACCAGGTGTCAGTTGGACAGTGCCTGAGAGCGGTGGATCCCCTGGGTCAGAAGGGCTCTGTCGCCATGGCGATCTGTGATGGCTCCTCTTCACAGCAATGGCATTTGGAAGGTTAAGGTGGATGCTGTGGCGGGAGCGGTGCTTCATCAGGTGTTGCCTCCTGTGTGGAGTTTGGGGCTTTAGGAACGCCTGGGTTGCGTAGAGTAGAGTCATCTTGGAGAGGATGACATTTCCCTGTCCTCCCGGAGATGCCTAGGCGTGTTAGCAGAGGTGACACGTGTCTGACAGAGATGGGAGCTCTGGGTGTCCACAGGTGAAGAAGTTGGTTTCACCCAGACATTAAGGTTATTTCTGAGCTGCTGTTAAGGAATTTCTTGCTTATAGAGGCAAACCAGAATATCATTTTAACCCTAGAATTGGGCTTGTACAGAAGGATAAAACCCAGGAAAATGGATATTTCTATTCAGATTTATTTATGCCTCTTTTTAATCTTCTTTAATGATGCAGTGGTTTTTATCTGATCAGGAACTTGTCATGATTTCCTTTTTTAGACTTCATAGGAGATAGTGCTAAAAAAAAACTATTATTGTTTAGTATGTTGTGAGTAGATCATCTAAAAGAACTGAAGCTACATTATGTTTTTAACTTCAGAAGGCATCATTTATAAGACAGTATAAGAGGCAGTTAAGTATTATAAATTATTTTGATGAATTATGATACTATCTACATTTAAAATAAAAAATCCTTTTGATTATTTAGGATATTTTGTCTTGTATTGGGGCCTCTGGTCTGAGGTGTGTTGCATGCTCTTGGAGTCAGCTCATGACCCAGTAGGCTCGGTAGAGTCCTCTGCCTCTCAAGACACGTCCCAGTTTCTTAGCTTGAGCTGTGTGACCTTAGATACTGGACATCAAAGTTGCCTGTGCAGCACCCAGGAGAGCTGTTCAACAGGCAGTTGGATATAGAGGTCAGACTCTTGGAAGATGTAGCTCAATTAGAGATAATACATTTGGGAATCACTTGCATATACTAAAAATTCTGAAATATAAGGTGAATTTTCCTCCCAAACCACATCTTAAGAGGAGAGACGGTCTCATATTGCAGAGTATACACTCAGATATTTTATCTGAACCACAAAACAGTTTAAGCACCACATCCTAAATATTTTATCTGTGATTTGATTTCAAAGGCCAGGATGGTACATATGGAAAACAAGAGCAGCAAGATGGTAGATTGAAATCCAACAATGTCAGTAATCACATTAAGTGTAATGAATGTAAATGCCACAGTTAAAAGGCAGATTAGATAAATATGCAAGATCCAACTATATGCTGCCTATAAGAAACTCACTTTATGAATACATTAAAAATGGATGGTAAGATAGATGAAAGACATCTGAATAGATATATTAGACAAAGTAGATTTCAGCACAGAGAATATTACTACAGATGATATAGAGCGTCATTTCATGAATAAAAGGTTCAACTTAATCCCAGTTTTATCAGTTTTTGTGGCCTTTATTTTGAAGTTCTGTTAAAACTGCAAGAAGTACACCCATCCACAGTTGCAGTAAGAGATTTCAACACACCTCTCAATAACTGATAGAACAAGTAGACAGAAAAACAGTATAATGTAGAAACCTTGAACAATACTGTCAACCGTCGTGGCCTAATTGACACTACCCAACAACAGAATACATGGAACATTTACCGAGATAGACCATATTCTGGGATATTGAGCAAGTCATTGCCAAGTATAATATAAATCAATAACAGACACTTGGAAAATCTCCAAATATTATTAAAAACTAGCACACTTCCCAGTACCTTAAGGGTCAGAGAAAAAAATCAAGTCTATTTTGAACTGACCAAAAATGAAAATACAACAGTGTGTGGCATGCAGCTAAAGCAGTACTTGGAGGTTTTATAGCATTAAGCACCTATATTAGAAAAGGATACAAGTCTCAATGAATGACTTTAGCTAGCTGCCATCTTAACAGAAAAAGAGCAAGTTAGACAAAGAGGCAGAAATGAAATATTAAATACCAGAACAGAAATGAATGAAACAAAGAAAATAAAGCTAAAAGCTGATTTGAGAGATCAGTAAAATTGATAAACCTCTAGCCAAAAAAAAAAAAAATAACAGAAATTACTAACATCAGGAATGAGTTGCAAGCGCACTAGAGTCTACAGATAATAAAAAGGATGCTGAACGGCAGGAGCTCTGATTCCCTGCTGGTGGGAGTGCAAAGTGGTACAGCCACTTTGGCAAGTTTCTTTGTAAACATACTCGTACCCTGTGATCCAGCAGTTGCGCTCCTTGGTGTTTAGCCTAAGGAGCTGAAAACCACACAAAGCCTGCACGTGGATTTTACAGCAGCTGTATTCATGACTGCCGACACCTGGAAGCAAGATGTCCTTTAGTGCATGCATGGATGAACTATAGTACATTCAGACGACGGAACATTCAGTGCTAAGAAGAATTAAGCCATAAGCCCTGAAAAGTCATGGAGGGATGTTAAGAATATATTATTCAGTGAAAGAAGCCAATCTGAAAAAGCTATGATTCCAACTATATGCCATTCTGGAAAAGGCAAAAACACAGAGGCAAAAAGATCACTGCTTGCTAGGGGTTATGGGAGAATGTGATGTCAACTTGACTGAGCTAAAGAATGCCCAGGTAGCTGGTAAGACATTATTTCTGTGAGTGTCTGTGAGGATGTTTCCAGAGGAGATTATGTTTGAATCAGAAGACTCGGTAAAGAAGATCCGCTCTCAGGAATGCGGGTGGGCACCACTCAGTCCATTGGGAGCCTAAATAGAACAAAAGGTGAAGGAAGGGGGACTTGCTCACTCCTTGGAGCTAGATGTCAGTGTTTTGGCTCTCAGGCCTTTGGACTCAGACGAGGACCTACATCATTGGCTCAGGAGGCCTTCAGCCTTGGGCTGGAACACTACCACTGCCTTTCCTGGCCTTCCAGCTTGCAGGCAGTAAATCATAGAGCGTCTCAGTCCCTCATAATAAATCTCTTTCTATATTTCTGTACATCCTATTGGTTCTGGTTTTCTGGAGAACCCAGATAATAGAAGGAGGGAGGGATGAGCAGATAGAGCACAGAGGATTTTTATATCCTACATGAATATAGAAGAAAAATTTCCTTATAAAAATTAGCAAATCAAATCCAGCAACATATAAAAAGGATGATACATTATGAACAAATTGGTTTTAGTCCAGGAATGCAAAGATGGTTTAACACTGGAGATTTGATTAATATAATTTACAGTGTTAGTAATACAAGGGGAAAGGCATATGCGACCTTGCAGGAAAAAAATGTAGAAAATTGACAGAATTCAACACCCACTTACGATAAAAACTCAGCAAACTAGGAATGGAAAGAAAATTCCTCAACCTCATAAAGTGCATCTGTGGAGATACTATAGCTAGCCTCATGTAATGTGAAAGATGACTGGGAACAAGGCAAAGACACCTGTTTTTACCTCTCCTAGCCAGTGCAATACAGCAAGAAAAAGAAAGGCATGTACATTAGGAAGGAAGAAGTAAAAGTGTATTTATTTGCAGACTATGATCAAGTATGCAGAAAATCATAGGGCATCTTCAAAACTACTATTAGACATAGTAAGGAATTTATCAGGACCACAAAAAAAATCAATATAAAAATGAATTGTTCTTCATATTGGCAACAAACAGCTCAAAACTGAAGTTCATGGTATTACCATTGCAGTTTACAATAGCATCCAAAATATAAGAATTTAGGGTACATATGACAAAATATGTGTAAGATTTGTATGATGAAAAGTAGAAAACGTTGCTGAGAAGAGTTAAGATTAGAGAACTATTACATTCGTGATTGGAAGACTCAGTGTTAATAAGATGTTAATTCTCCACAATTTGATCTATGAATTTACTGCTACTTTTAATCAAAATCCCAGTATGCTTTTTGTGGAAACTGATAATTTTAAAATTGATATGGAAATGCATAGGCCTAAGAGTGGCCAAAATAATTTGAAAAGAATAAAGTTGGAGGATTTACACTAATTCAAGACTTACTATGCTGCTGACTTAAGGATAATGAATTGATTGGTGGAAGAGAAATAGACCCAGACATACATGGCCAATTGATTTGCAGCATAGGAGCCGACACAATGCAGTGGGGAACAGAAAATTATTACAACACACGGTGCTGCAAGAATCTGATATCCCTGGGGACAAAAAATTACCTGTGACACCTCTGCTACCACCTTGTACCACCAATAAACATTATTTTAAGATCTAAACATAAAAACTAAAATTATAAAGCTTTTAGAAGAAGATGTAGGAGAATATCTTCATGACTTTAGGGTAGGCAAAGATTCCTTAAGCACTCATTAAAGAGCCAGCCATTGGCCAGGCATGGTGGCTCATGCCTGCAATCCCAACACTTTTGGGAGGCCAAGGCAGGAGAATCGCTTGAAGCCAGAAGTTTCCAGACCAGCCTGGTCAACATAGTGAGAACCTGTCTATTTGAAAAAGAAAAAGGCCAGGCACAGGTGGTTCATGCCTGTAATCCCAACGCTTTGGGAGGCCAGTGTGGGAGGATTGCTTGAGCTCGAGTTAAGAGACCAGCCTGGGCAACATATTAATAAAACTTTTTTTAAAAAAAACTAGCCATAAAATATTAACAAATTGAACTTCAGAATTAAGCTTCTGCTTATCAAGACACCACTGAGAAAATGAAAAAAAGCCACAGAACTATATTCAAGGGTTTGTGCTTAAAATTCAATACTAAAAAGACAACCCAATTTTCAAAATGGACAAAATATTTGGATACTTCACCAAAGAAGTATAAATAGCTCAGTGTATGAAAAGGTGTTCAATATCATGGTTACCAAAGAACTGCAAATTAAAACGACATTCAGGTGGCACTTCACATCCATTAAAATGGCTGAAATAAAACAGACCGACATGGGGGCTTCTCAGGAAATTGCAGAAAAGGTGGCAGCACAGCTTTCAAATTTTGCCCAGTCAACATCCACATAAAATTAGAGCAACTAGACAGACAGACCCCAAACCCATGGATGGTATTTTCGAAGTAGGTAGGTGCAAGGTAGCTGCGAATTCTCTGAAGTGGGTAGGAGGAGCTGGACGCCCGAGACCTGTGTGCCCGAGACCAGGCAAGCTCCAGGCAGATGGTGTGTTGAGGAGTGGAGATAGGAAAAGGCAACGGTGGCCGCAGGAAACTGGGGAGTCAGAGCAGCCAACACCGTGGGGTCGTCTGCCTCTCCAGCAGTGGGTAGCAGCAGGCGTCCCTGGGGGAGGGAGGGCTTAGGGGATGAAGGCTTCTAGTTCCTTTGAACTCTTGAAACTGCCAGGGCATGGAGTCGAAATTGAGCAAGACAGGGATAATAGAGAAACAGTAGTAAGTGAATAATAGTAAAGAAAAAGGGAAGACACAGCTTGGAGAAGTAGAGGGAAGTGCAGCCAGCCATTGGCAGGAGTGACCGTAGCTTTAGCAGTGCAGGAAAAACAGAAGAGGGAGCTTTGCAAGGCTGGGAAGGCTGTCTGAGCCACGCTCCCCCACGTGGGAAGGCTGTCTGAGCCACGCTCCCCGACGTGGGAAGGCTGTCTGAGCCACGCTGCCCTACGTGGGAAGGCTTTCTGAGCCACGCTCCCCCACGTGGGAAGGCTTTCTGAGCCACGCTCCTCCATGTTCAGAAACTCGGTTGCCACCAGATGAGCAACAGAAGAGGATCAAGACC